CAGGCATTAGGCTATTTTACATGTATTATCAATTCACTTGTCACTATTATTTCGATCAAAGAGCTTAACAATTTGAAGTTTAGAGTCATTTGCTCAAGGTCTTTCTTGTGAAACTTGACTTCAGGGAATTTGACTAAAATCTATTTTATAAACTACTGCACTGCACTGTTTCCTTCGTGCTGTCAGTTTCCAATTTGCAGATTAGGAAACTGAGGCCCAAACTACTGAACTCATTAAGTAACCACTACTTCTTTAAATTGAATGGCCATTATTAGCACTGGAAACTGACTTCTAAGTTCAGTTTGCTTTTTGTTGCCATAGCTACCTTCTCAAGTAACAACCTATTGGTCCACCGTAGCCATTCTTATTTTCAGAACATGTGTTTAAAAAGATTCCTTAAGGAGTATTTACTACCAGCAGAATTTAAAAATGTTGAAAAAGCAGAACATGCTGACTGGTGTCATGTTCCCAAGAATTTAGTAATAACTTAAGTGGAATCAGGTTTATTTCACATACTGATATAGAGTATATTTAGCTTCATTTCCATTTTATGTTTACTCATTCTTGATATTGCCATATAAGAGGTATAGAAACTATATTAAACAAAATATACAATTTTTTATTTTCAAGTATGTTAGTTGAAATTAAGAACATATCATTCATATATATTGTTTTCTCATATTATGCTATACTGTTTTTCTTCTACATAAAATTGGGCTTTAAGTAAGTCATGAGTCATGGCAATGAATTTTCTTACAACCTTATTTTTATGAACCATTTTTTTATTGAGCCACTTTTTATTTTATGTTGGTTCATATGCTCTATGAAATATTCAATGACGCCAGGTGCGGTGACTCACGCCTATAATCCCAACACTTTGGGAGGCCAAAGTGGGCGGATCACTTGAGGTCAGGAGTTTGAGGCCAGCCTGGCCAACAGGGTGAAACCCTATCTCTACTAAAAATAAAAAAATTAGCCAGGCATGGTGGTGTATACCTGTAATCCCAGCTACTCAGGAGGCCGAAGCAGGAGAATCGCTTGAACCCAGGAGGCGGAGGTTGCAGTGAGCCGAGATCACGCCACTGCAATCCAGCCTGGGCAAAAAGTGTGAAACTGTCTCAAAAACAAAAGAAAAAGAAGAGAAATATTCAATGGCCTACACAAATAAAAAACATTGATATTAATGGTTTGTTGAAACATTTGTTCCTGTGGAAGAATTGATATGTATTCATTATCAAAGCCTGCACACATTTTTTTCTTGACTATTCACCTGATCTGAAAATGCATTGCCCTTATTAATACAAGTTAAATATATATTTTGGAATAAATTATCCTGAGTTACTGCTATTTCCCTCACTCATGAGAATTAGTAAAAAATCAGAGAGGAAAATAAATAAATGAACACCATGCTTTAGCTTTCAGGGAATTCATTATTCAATATTCCCTCTTTCAAAGGATTTTGAAAGTATATACATCTGTTAGAGACAAATTTTTAAGACCAGGTTAAAATCGCAGACCTAAGGTTAATTTTAAGTGAATTAAATCATTGCTTTAAGGGCCCCATAAATGAAAGCTAACTATCTAAGTTCAATGTTTAAGACTTTTGCAATACTTACTCATTCTTATTCTTGTGCTTACTCTTATAGCTTTTGGTGTATGCCAGTAATCTCTTTGTTGCACATTAGTAGATAAAATGTAATCTTGTAATTTGTGTGTGTAAGCTGCTTGAGAACATAGGTATTTTTTCCTATAACTGCTGGATTTCTGTTGCCTGAGGTGGTGCCTGATACATACTAATTGATGAATTAAAAATTTGCAAACAAATTCAAGCTAAGTAAATCCTGAAGGCTCTTAGGGTATCTACTTTTGATATGATTTTGAAGACAAAAATAAAAAGATGTACAAAAATCAATGTTTTTATAGTATGTTAGTATACATTCCTGAATGTATTTTATAGAATGTTAGTATACATTCCTGAATATTATCTTTTAAAACTATCAGTTCAACACACTAAATTCACTTACGAAAAGGAAATGAATTTCTGAATGCTGTTTGTTGAGAAGATAAAAACAGCTTCTCGGCCTTTTGGCTAAGATCAAGTGAACAAGATACAAAGTTTGTTGAAGTGGAGACTATGAAATGATTTCTATTTGATCAATTACACTATTGTATATCATACTATCTTATATGATTTTTAGGAAAGTATCTTGAGGAATATCCTCTTAATCCTATTTTAAAGATAATTGAGGCTAAGTAGTTTGTTCACAATAACAGTTAGTAGGTGGCAAATTCCGGACTGTCTCCAAAGCCGTTCCTCTCTCCTGCCTTATGTATACAAGAAATAAGCTACAACGGTTATAGATCAGTTTCATGAACCAAGTCTCTAAGGACAAAGTGTGATTTATTTTAACCTAGCTGCATTTTTAAATTGAAAAGAAATACATAGGTTTCTGGTTATTGTGACTGGAAGCACAAAATGCATTGCATGATATGATGCTTTTCTCACACATTTGAGAAAGCATTGAAGTGTTTTGAGCAAAGTAATGATAGGATAGTTTCAGCAGTATTCATCTGAATGACAAATCAACTCCAGGGTAGAGGCAGAGAGAATAAAGGAGGCTGTTGCAATCGTCTAGGCAAGAGATGATGACTGGTTGGATCAGACAGATCTTGGGGCCTTATTTTTTAGCCTCCTTTGCTAGTTCTTCCTGGGAGGGGTGAAAAGTGGTTGAATTTGGAATGAATTTTGAAAGTAGAGCTAACAGTATTTTTTGAATGACTGGATATGTGGAGAGGGAGGGAGGGAGGAGGAAGGAGGGAATAAAGTCAAGGAAAAGAGTGAAAGAAAAGTAAGGACAGAGACACAAAGGTGATTCCAGGATTTTTACCTAAACAACTGGAAAAATTAAGTTATTCTCCTGAGTTAGGGGAGAATGGGAGAGAAGCAAGATGCTGGGACAGAAAGAGAGGCAGATCAGGAGTTGCGTTTTAGCTGTTTTCAGACTTCCAGTATATCAGACTAGACACCAATGTGAGAATCATCAATATAGACATAATTAAAGCCATGAAATTGGATGAGAACACCTGGGAAGGCTGAGTAGAGAGAAGAGGCCTAAGCCTTTTGAGCTCTGAGATACTCCAGAGTCTAGAATGTAGGAAGGGAAGAGCCTCCTCCTTCCGGAGGAGGAAGAGCCAGTGAGGCAGAATCATCTGCAAGACTGGGGTTCTGGAAGTCAAATGAAGAAAATATTAAAGAGAACAAGTGGTTAGATGCAGCAGAGTTTTCAGGTAGATTAAGTCCAGTAAGACTTAGGTATGACCATAGGATTTAGTAATGGGGGAGTCCATTGATGACCTTGACAAAAGATTGATCAAAGAAGATTCTGTTACTGAAAATAAACAGAAAGGATTATAAACCACTCACCTAGAAGACGTCTGAAGTTATTCCTTAAGTTTGCGATCCTCATAGAGGCAAACTACTTTGCAGTTGTTATGTAAATTTGGTCATATTATCCTGTACTGTTAAACTCAGATATGTTCGTCAGTTATTTAAATACTGATTTTAATTACTTTAACTGTCAACATTTAATTAAAGTTTTTACAAAGTTTTACTTGAGGTTCCTCCTGTGTTTTGGTAAGTTACTATATGGTGGGAAGGGCATACATACCTATACAAACAGTCCTGGGTTTCAGTCCAAACTTCACCGATTAGTAGTTGTGCAGTCTTGAACAAGTTAGGTAAATTTTTCTAAGTCTCAGTTTCCTCATTTGGAAGTTGACAGGTAATAACTACTTTATATGACTGTCAATTAACAGTGGACTGGATTAAAAAAAGTGGTACATATACACCATGGAATACTACACAGCCATGCAAATGAAATTATGTCCTTTGTAGCAACATGAATGCACTTGGAAGGCATTATCTTAAGCAAATTAATGCAGTAACAGAAAACCAACTACCACATCTTCTCACTTGCAAGTAGTAGCTAAACATTGAGTACACATGGACAGAGAGCGGAACAGTAGACCCTGGGGTTTACTTAAGGTTGGAGGGTGGGAGGAAAGTGAGGATTGAAACACTACCTATCAGGTACTTTGCTCACTACTTGGGAGACAAAATCATTTGTACATCAAATCCTGGCGACATGCCATTTACCCATGTAACAAATCTGCACATGTAGCCCCGAAAAAGTTTGAAGAAGAAGAAAAAACAAGATACTGTGAGCATACTATCTGAAGCATATGATACAATTATACATCATAAATGATGTAAAAGTTGAGTCATTGATTTGTACTGTAAGCTGCTATATTTTTTCTCCAGTATTTTTTAATATAAATAGAAAACTTAGACAAGGACGTTTATTTAAAACAACTGCATAGCAACTGATATAAGAGAGATTAACAACAGAAATAATCATGGGAATCAATTTAGAAACCAGATAATCTAGATGGAGATTTGTGTTGGATTTTCTATAATCAACTGTATGCTACTCAATAGGGTAAAACAATTTTAATAATTTTGTTTTGAAAAAATATAAATGCTATAATGAATTATGTGCATTTATAAAGCTGACTCCTTATTTTAAAAACTTTGATAATGTGGGAAGTAGTGATTAGACATTTGGTCACTTCTAACTTATTTTAAAGGATGAAAAATCATAAAAATGTTTTGTTCTACTTTGTACTTTTGCAGTAATTCTACAGGAATTATATTTAATGTGTGTATGTTTGTGATAAATCCCTTAACACGTTATATTGTTTGCTTTTGATACTAAGATGCCACCTACAGTTTACAGTAGTATCATCAACCAACATTGTCATCTAATTGCATTTAACTAATAATTATTTAAAATAAGTGGAACCTAGTAGGAAGTAATAAAAATTTAATTAGTAAAAATCTAATTGGATTTTTCCATTGTTTATTTTCATGACTTAAAACTACAAAATAATTATGAGGCTTTCTCAAACTGTAATTTCTGTTTCTTTGTCTTCTTTTATAGAGCTACATTCATGGGAGCAGCCAGGCTCAGTTTGTGGCAGAATCACACATTATTCTGGTACTGAGTATCCTTTTAAAATATTGATGAATTGAAAAGGGCAAACCAGAGCTACATGTTATTAAATTGACATTTTTCCTGGCAGTAAATATCAAGATTTTAAAAATACATTAAATTTTAAGCTGTTCTGTATGAGTAATTTTATTTTTTTGTTAATTATTTCCTACTACAGAGTAATTTGTTACTATTCAGTATCATTAACAGATCATAATTTATTTTTTACTGACTGTTGAATTTCAAAGTATTACTCTTACTCTGCATTGATGATCTCTGGCTAGATTTTTTTGTGAAATTTATATGGCTTTTCCCTATGGCATCTTAATGGTGAGAAAAAAGTGCCTTATGGTATAAATAGCAGCTTAAAAAAGGGATTATCATCATACTGCTTCCCTTAAATATATGGTATGTCAGAAGAAGGAGATTTTGAGTGGTTCAACATGCCTTTTTGGAACATACCAGACTGAGTCAGACTAAGTGTTGTGAATCAGATCATACAATGTAATTTATGATTTAGATTTAGAAGGGTAAAGAATGTAGCACGATAAGAAATAGTAGCAGGATAAGAAAAAGGTAAGGTTAAGCATCTAATCTGAATATTCTTAGAATGAAATAAAATTAGTTTGGACACTGTTTTGGGGGAACATTGATGTTTGTGTGAGTCTTATAAAAATGTTAGAAATTTAAATTCATAGTGTTGCTTGAACATATTGAGCCATTATGAGAATTTAACGTGTGCCTCTAGTGTCCTTTATAAAATTTGATTACTAATATCCTGGTTACTAAGATTCATATTCAAATGAAGTAGTCTAGACCAAATTCTCCAGTACTATATATAACTAAAGCTGTAAACTTTTAAGTATCTTAGAATTTGTCCAGGCCAAACCTCATTTTATATGTAGGAGAACTAGAGCCCACAAAGGGCTTGTGTTAGGGAAGCCTACGTGAGCTAGAATTAGAATTCAGTTTTCTTTTTCATGGTCTATTGGTTGTGCAAGTACTTAAGTTTTATGTACAATACTTTATTATGGTGTGTGATGTATAATTTCATGAATGAATGTTAGTCATGCCTACGCTTTTTAATCTGGATGAAAAATCTTTTTAACAACACTGAAGTTTTTGGATTTTATTACTTTGTTGTGTCATAACAATGCATTTTTAAAAATCTACCAGCAAAGACTGACCACTTCAGTTTATTCAAGCAACCTGTTTTATTCGCTTACTGTGTTTTAGGCACTGCATGAAGTGGTGGTATACAGTGATTACTGTATGGTGGAGAAAGAGGGATGGAAAATGTTTAAAGCGCTTGGAATTCTCGAGAAACTGAAAGTCTTCCTTGTTTGTAAAATCAGGATTAGCAATACTAACCACACGGCATTTTTGTGTGAAGAAAATGAGCTAGCACACATTAAGCATCCAATAATCACAAAAGGCTAGTTGGTTTATTCCTCTCTCTGTTTTTCCTTCTTTCTTACTCGGAACTTTGGTGGCCACAGATAATATGCATAAACACATATATGTGGGTTGATTCCTAGTGATATTGTTTGGCTGTGTGTCCCCACCTAAATCTGACCTTGAATTGTAATAATACCCACATGTCATGGAAGGGACCCATTGGGAGGTAACTGAATTATGGGGGTGGGTTTTCCCATGCTGTTCTCATGATAGTAAGTCTCATGAGATCTGATGGTATCATAAAGGGTCGTTCCCCTGCACGTGCTCTCTCTTGCCTGCTGCCATGTACGATGGGCCTTTCACCATGATTGTGAGGCCTCCGCAGCCATGTGGAACTGTGAGTCCATTAACCCTTTGTTTCCTTATAAATTACCCAAGCTCATGTATGTCTTTATTAGCAGCATGAGAACGAATACACCTAGCTTTTGACAAAGGTGTAGATGACCGAAAAAAAAAATCATCTTCTAATAAAACTTATCAAAATTCTAAAACTTGAACTGTAAACAGTGAAATGACTTAATTTTTCTAGAGCAAAATTTTTGAACCCATTAAATCATATAACTTGTAATAAAAATGCAGTTTTTCAAGGTTTAATGAAAATGAAGGACATGAAGTTGAGAAGAAAATGATTATAAATCTCCTTTATATTGCAGGAGAACTAAAAGACACCTTTCTAAAACTCATTGAACAACACTGACCGTCTTCTTCCTATGTCTCAATTCTCAACATTTTTATTTCTTCCACCCTTGATTATGCATGTTTGGATACATACATGAAATTGGGCATATCTGCAGCCCATTTCTTGCTTACATTTGTTTACTTGCCTGTATGCTTTATGGTTTCAAAATTAAGAAACTACTATGAGGAGTACTTGTTTGGCTCTAGTTTGTCTCACAGACTGGAATCGGAAATACAAATTTTGCTATATTTTTCAACAAATACCGAATTTCTGCACACCAGCTTTAATACGGTAAGAGAGTAATGCTTTCTGCACATCAGAGGGGCCTTCGGTGAGAAAAGGAAGTATCTGTATATGTTTGTAGACATACCCACTCCTCCCTATTAAAAAATAAGGGCAAAGCTGTATTTACTCTCAACTTATTATTTAAAGATATTCAGGGAGCAAAATATGTTAACATTAAAGCAAATTGATAGAAACATAAAGCATTTGTTGCAGGTAAGTTTTTAACTCTCATTTATTGAATTATTGTAGTTTCTTTTTTTTTTTTTTCCTAACTTGTTTCAATCCATGATGTAGCATTTCAGCAGTATACTTTATCTAGATAAAGTGATGAGTTTATTGAAACACATCAGGAATACTGAGCAGAAGGATGAAAAGCTGTGTTGAGATCATAATTTTATTGTATGGCAGGAATTCTCCAAGGTTTCATTTCATGGATCATTGGCATCAAGCCGAGATTTAGGATTCAAAGAAATTTCACAAGCAGTATGAATTTTTTCATATAGATCTTAACAGTGATACATAAAAGAAAAGCCCCATTCTCTTTTTGGTAATAGTCATTATTTGTTGCTTCATTTTTCCTGTGTTTTTTTTATTTTAGACATATCTGGTACTAAGAAAGAGAAAAATTCTTTTAAAATGCTGGACTCATTATCAGTAAAACTTTAAAAGAAGTCCAGGCACAGTGGTTCATGCCTGCAATCCCAGCACTTTCGCTGGCCAGTCACTGTAGCTGAGGAGTTTGAGACCAGCCTGGGCAACATTAGGGGGAATGCTGTCTCTACAAAAAATTACAAAATTAGCCAGATGTGATGGCATACACCTATGGTTCTAGATACTTGGGAGGCGGAGGCAGGAGGATCACTTGAACCCGGGAGATCAAGGCTTTAGTGAGCTGTGATCACACACTACACTCCAATCTGGGTGACAGAGTGAGACCCGGTCTCAAAAAAAAAAAAAAAAAAAATCAATAATTTCTGATTCTAGTTTCATTTGACAGTCTACTGCTGCTTTTTGAACAATCTATTTTTTTTTTTGTCATTTGTGCATTTTTTTTTTCTTCAGGCAAAAAGTTACAAATACCAGATGATTACTTTTCATTTATCTGTAGAGAGAACATTTCTATCTTTTGGATTTCTCGTCCTAATTTAGTAAGTCAGATTATTAGATGCAGTTGCTATATAGAAAGATTTGCTGAAAAAACCTAGGAGAAAACAGATGGAGTTATTTTGTATCATAGGTTACAGATTGATATTTACTAAGAATAAAATTGTCTCCATATCAGTAGTGTTTTATTTTTTCAGTACCTTATTTAAATAAAGAACAATCTTAAGTCGTCTTTGAGAGAAAACTATATGAAAAAATAAGAAACATTATATTTTCATATGGAATATATGTAAATCATCTAAAAGTAACTTACATAGGACTTGATGTTTTTGCAAGTAAATTCATTTTTATTTCACTTATTTTTCCTTTTTTAATATTTTCACCACCTAATGCAAATGTGAATGAGATATTTGCTGTTTACAGAAAGGTAGGATGACAGAAAAATACTTAAAATACAGTGAGACAAATATGCAAAGGAAGTAGCAAGAGAGTAGCTAACTCCTTATCTAGAGAATTGGCACTGACTTTTCAGCTGGATGTGGAAGTAAAAAAAGGAGTTTCAGAGACAGAGAAATGAGTGAGGAAGCTATTTTGGTAGAAGATACAGCAGGTACACAATCATAAAATGAGAGTGAATACTCTTTATTTCAGGAAGATAAATACATCAAAGCTGGAATACACATTTTGAAGAGATTGGTGAAAATTTGATTAGGCTGAACAATGAAAACTTTGCTGAGAAATTTGAATCTTAGCTACAGGTGGTAGATGCAGTGCAATTAATATGCCAATTTTACATATTTGGCATTGGGTAACCTATGAATTCTTTCTGAAGTATTACGAGGTTGAGCCCCACATGTCTTCTTGATAAATTTGGCTGTGGAAAGGGAAATAGTGGCGTCATGCCTGTTTAGGGAACAGAAAGCCAATGGAGGTTTGCTCCAGTAACAATATTAAGGATAGGGTAGAGAAGGCAGAGCAAAGGAAGCAGGAATCGCTGGCAGTCGTTCTGGCTGCTGGCAATGGTTTATCCTCAAGGATGAACCTAAGTAAAGGAATGGATGAGTGACTCAGCTGCTGTTTGAGAGGAAGAAGAATCAAAATTGATAATAAATGTCACAAGTAAGATTCAAGAACAGAAATCAGAGATGATTCTGAAGTTCAGCTATGTGTTGTAGGATAGAAATATGGAGGAAGACAAGGTTTGGAGGGGAATGTTTAGCCCAGAAAAGTTCCTAAGATTGATTAGGCCTCATTATTGGTTGATGAGAAAGAGATTAGTTTGTTTAAATTGCTTAAGATGATAAAGCCAATCAGTTGAAGAGTCAAGAGCTTAAAACTGTAAATGCATTGTTTTTCTACTTAGTAATACTTTGCCAATAAATCAAAACCTCTGTGAATAGACCAATAATATTCTAACCAAACTGTATATTGTGTGTATTTGTTGTATACATCTGAAAAGATCATTTTAATAAAGATACAGTGGCTAT